CCCTATCGACCATCATAACACTATTTTTTTCGTCATAACTACCCCCCCCCGACCAGCAACCAGCCATCCACCCCATCTCACCGATCACTATGCCACTATTGTCGTCGTTACAACTACCATCCCCACCCACCCCAAAAAGAAAAATGGAGATTCCAATTCTTTTGAGAGATTACATTCCAAAATCCTACCAACCGATCGTGTGGTCAAATGTCATTCCAATTCCATTAAAATCAAATTCTTTGATGGATCCTAATTCCACCAAATTTTATTCTGCAAACCAAACACCCCCTTAAGTGACACTCTATAAACATTTGGTAAACGACCAATAACGATAGTTACAACATGAGTGTTATTTGTGGTTTCAAGTGCAAATGTTAGTAATCGAATGATAACATGTGATATATAGCATGACAAGCGAATATAAATCTTACAAATGTAGACTGAACTTGAATATTATAGGGTAAATAGGTAATTCGTAGTAGTCTAGTTAGTAATTGTATGTATTTAAATAATATACATAGTAGCTTCATCAAATGAGAACTATAAAAATTGTGAGAATTGTGAACCAATCAACTAATAGAAATTATGTTGTTTATTTGATTAATTATGAAGGGTGTTTTAGTAATTTTATTAATTACAACTCAACATCTTTTGTACTTATCGCCTAATGGAAAGGATATACATTTTCCATAATTTTCTCTGTTTATTTTATGGAACTAGATTTTGTTGTAAGCCCCCATTGATGGTCAATTTTGATAGTATTCTTAACCTGAACGAATGAACCAGTAGATTTTTCGGAGATCACAACCAGAACTATTTAATCAAGATTGAAGTTGATACTGAAGAGAAAATTATTTAATTGATAACATTCTTCATCTGAACAAAAGGAACCAGTAATCTATGTTGACGGTGTATCATCGTGTGTTACATTTGCATATTATGGGGATAAATGCCATTATTATCATGGTTGTGTTTTTCATTCACGAATATATGAATCTGAATCCAATATTATACGTCATGGTTATTTTTTTCTCTTCTCCATATCTCGATGGAGGTGTTCAAATTTGATATTACAGTGTGTTATCTTGTGTTCACAACCTGTTTCTAAGTTTAAACATTTTAATGGGTTTCAAGGCGGATCACATTCATATTGTGTCTGGGTTTAAACATTTTAATGAGTTACTAGGTGGATCACAATGTGGATTGGGTTTGAAATCGGTAACCTTCACATGGTATTCTGTCAGAGTAAGGTTTACAAATGGTGTTTACTAAAGTTTGAAATTGGTAATGTGCTGGAGAGATGAAAGATTTATAAAAAGACGACTTTACCCCTAAATGTTATCCATAAATTTAAAAGTTCTGGAAATTAATGGATAATTAACACTAATTAATGTGAACCGTTGATTGCTAAAGATGAAAGGCTGGGATTGGATCTCAGATATCTCACAAAATATCAAGTTACCCCTTGAATGACCCGTATATAATAAACATATATATAAATAGTTAAAAGAATTGGTAAGTATGATACAATATTACCGACCAAACTTGTTGTCTACCAACTTCATTCGTATGATTGGTAACTTGTTGCTTGTGCGGTTTGATACAAATTGTACACCCGTACTTGTCAAATTGCAATGTGTAGTGTTTTTTCTAGGTAGATCAGGATAGGATATAGTTACTTGTTGTCATCTCCTGCTTTGTCTATGTATACGAGAAACGAAAAATGATTTGTATGGCCATATGTACAGTAGGTAAACATATGTTAACGTATGATTATATCTCATAGAAAAAATATAATGAGTTGACTGTATTAGATATTCTATCCCCTTTTATCAAGATTTGAGCGATACATTTATGGTTTGTAACCATGGCGGTGACATTTGTTGTTATCTTTCGAAATTTTTTTTTCTTATCAAATAATTTGGATCGGTCAACTAAAACCGAATAAATGGAAACTGATCTACCAAATCGATGTGATTGTAAAGAGATCCACATTATTCAGTGCAATTATCTGAATCTTGATATCATATATGTGTATAAGCAAGATAAACTTAACATAAAAGAAGAATCGTACAAGATAGAACTAAAAGTACCTGTTCTAGATGGCTTCGACAATCTCAACTTTGATATTCTAGATATGCATAAAGATTGTACTGAACTGCATATGCATCTGCATTCCGAGGGAAAAAGCGTCACTAATTAAAGGTTTTACCACAATCATAGATATACTAGAAATGGAAGAACTCGTTTTTTTTTACAAGTATACACATACATATAGATTAATCGTTTATCCGAGAACGATTGCAATAGGCTCGAGAACAATAACGATTTGCTTCTTAAAAGATCTTCGAAGCTGTAAATCTAGTGTCGGATTCTTTTAGCTGTATAGACAGAATGTGGAGAAAACGAGAAAATGAAAGTAAAGGCAAGTGAGGTATAGAAGGCGTGTTTATTTGGAAGACGGAAGTATGTATGAGAACGCGATTATATCACAATGCTAAGTTGGGTCGAAACAACTGGCAAAGGCCATATTTTAGCCCACAGAATATGGTTGTTTTAAGTTGGGCTTAGAAAACATTTTCGTATAAATCTTATCCTGATTTTTTGACTATCGAATCATTCATAAATACCTATTCCACTGTAATCCCTAGACTTCCTATGTGTGTTTCAAATATACTTATGTCAAGATGTGACTATGTATTAAAATAGTAAAGTGGATAATTGTGAGATTATATGACATATTTATGTCTTAGATATAATTATGTGATTTACATGTGCATAATATGTG